ATTTTGTGTTTAACAAAATGAGATTTAAAACAAATTATAAATGAAAAGGTGTCCTTTTATTATTTCTTCAACAAAATGCTGCGCATTTCTTTGTGAAATTGAAAGATGTCAAATAATAAAACTAACTTTAAATTTTAAAGCAAATCCCAAATCAAATAATTAAATAATACAAATAAAATAAATCTCTTCATATAAACAAACTAATGCTTTGTGGCGCTTATGGACCAGCAGGTATTTATAGGCTGCTGCCCCTTTAAGACCGAATGCACGGATCCAATATAATGATGCACTTGAGATTTCTTTCTCCACTGTTTACGTTCATTTAAGACATAACCGACTGTTTTTATGAGAATACTTGCCGAGACAGTTATTTTGAGATCATTTTTGTGTATGTGTTCATTCAGATGCAAGGATACGCGAAAGAGGAATCAATTCTGTGTACGCGCATTGTTTAAAAAACTTGAATGTTTAAATCGGCAAGACTTAGAAACACATGCAAACGATCAACTACGATCCGTTTTACCCCTCTACAAGCTAGTGAACAACGCAAATCAAGGAAAGAATTTTATATGACTGTTCAAAATAGCCCGTCGGGCAGGGTGGTGAAACATTTTGGTAGCCCGACTGGAAAACACAACCCTGAACTGCAAAAAAATTGTGTTTACTGCTATACTCACAAGTCTTTCCTTTGGCCTTAATGACTACATTTTCGTCACATCACTCACATCATTCAGGAATTATAATTCCAAGCTTTTATCTACCATTTGTCACTTCATCCAAATGAAACAAAGCAGCAGACTGAAAGAACAAAAGTAAAAACAAGCAGTCCTTTGCTGTTTGCTGGTGATTTTTCAAATCACCTTCCCAAGGATCAGTCACTCTATGAGGATATCAGATGAATGTTTCAATGTACAAGCTCAATTCTCTCACAGATGTGTCATTAGATCCCTGCTAACCTGGCTCTAAACATATAATTGCTGTGGGCAATTATTCATGGAAGAGCACACAGAAAATGTCTGCACTAGATATAGCTGAAATAGGAGAGCTGAGATAATATGTCTGTTAACAGAAAAAATAAATTCGGCTGCAGGACGCTATTGTTTAAGCCAATCAGAAGACAATGGGATGCTCTCTGCCTGTCAGTCATTTTGCCTGTTTGGTTCGGTGAGATCAGGATTGATCTTTGGGGGAGGGATTTTGAAAAGGGAGGAGGGCAGTCTAAGCCAGTGGCGGAAGATAGTGAAATGGCTAACATTGCTTACAGCACTGTTAACAAAACAATTCTGACTACATGAAATTAAATCCATTCTGAAAAGCTTCAAGCAGCTATGCGCATTTTCAGGCAAATAGCATCTAGGTTTTTTGGTATAACACAACAGCATTGTGTAACATTTTAAAGCCATTTTAAAAGCATTAAAAGCTTCACTTTTATTGAGTGAAAAGCCTTCTGCGCATTGTTCCCGATTGTGATTATTTCTCTTTTTCCTTTGGTGAAACAGAACAGACAACAGACTTTTTGAAGCAGTTGCAAATCACAACAATATGACCCCATCTGAGATCAAATGTTCAACAGTTAACAAGCACCCAGATAAAAAGAGAGAGAGAGCGCAGAGTGAGGCTGACAGGAGGGTCAGTGAGGGAGTGTGGGGGTTGGAGGTGTAAGTTTAGTGCGTCTCACTAATGGAGTTCCCCAGTGAGAGAAACCAGGAGCGAAGTTTGTGGGGGCTAAACAGAGGCCACAGAGCTCTAAACCCAGTCACAGACTAGAGGATGGGGTCCACCCTAAACATTAATACCTGAGCTGATGTCATCATGAGTCATTCTGACTTAAAATAAGTAAAACTGCAAAAATATGTGCCAACCTCTAAAGCAGTGCACACTTCCTGATAAAATCATGTTCATGTCAGCCAGCACAAATTAACGCATACATTTGCTTCTCTCATAATCAGTAAACCAATAAGTATCAAAATCATTTAGCATTTGCATTTAATCATTTACCAACCATATTCATCTAAAGTAATTTCCAAAACTGATCAGAAAAAAAAACAGGCTGGAACTGTAAATAAAGTGAAACCCAATGACAGAGAAAAGTGCAAGAACAGTTGAAGATTTGAATGCTCATTGAGGATGTGCTTTTAGATGTTTTTTGAAGGTAGCTAGAGACTTGTCTGTTCAGAAACAGTTGGGAAGATCATTCCCCCATGAAGGAGTAGTGAAAGCTGTATAAATAAATTAACTAAAAGTAAATGAATGAATGTATGTTCTTGAGCACATTTAACATTAACATTTTTATGCATTTGGTAAATGCTTTTATCTAAAGTGACTTTCAGCGCATTTAAGGTGTACATCATCATGCGTGTTTTCATTAGTGTTGAACCCATCGCTTTGATGTTGCTAGCACCATGCTGTAGTCTACCAGCCTGCACCTAGTCTCATAAATCAATCTCAAAAATGATTTGATCCTTTAATGTCTAATTCTTAAAAAATTCTTACTTTAACAGCATATTTTTACTTTAAGTAATGTACGTAACTATAACCTTCCTATAATGTCATATGTCTTAAAGGGGTCATATGATGCGATTAAAATTTTTCCTTTCTCTTTGAAGTGTTACAAGCTCTTGGTGCATAAAGAAGATCTGTAAAGTTGCAAAGACTAAAGTCTCAAATCCCAAGAGATATTCTTTATAAAAGTTAAGAGTCAACCACGCCTACCTAAAACGGCTCGTTCTAACACGCCCCCACATATCTACATCACTATGTGGGAAGATTTGCATAATGCCGCCCAAACGTTCACGCAAAGAAAGAAGGCGTAACTTTTATTCTCGCTGTAGTATTGTTGTTGCCACCGCCATGTCGTGAAGGCGCTGTGTGTTTCGTTGTGAAAGCGAAACTTCTTTCTTTGTTTGGTCTTCCAAAAGAGGACGATATCCGCTTCGTCATGCCTGGAGCTGATCCGTGCTGGTCGCCGAGGAAATACATCAACTTCGCACTGTGGATCGCCGGATCGGCTTTCACCATGGACGAAGCGGAGTCCGCCGGACGCGCCGTTCTCAAGCCCACCCGCCTCCGCTCACTCTAGCCCGCTGTGACGCTGTGTGTTTCGTTGTGAAAGCGAAACTACTTTGTTTGGTCTTCCAAAAGAGGAATCATTTATAAAGAATGCATGGTAACACAAATGGAACTACTTTCCATAATGAAAAATTCCTGGTAGATATTGGATTTTATAAGTATGGTTAGAATGTGACGGATATAAATAGGATCATGAATTGTATTTAAGAAACATCAATAGAATTGAAAAACTACTGTTGGTCTCATAACACTGATCTTTTCCAGATTTTGGAATTAAATTGCAGGCAAGATACAAATGAATGACTTAATTTAAATTGCTTCAAATAGTAACTGTTTAAGCCTGTTCCACCTTTGACTAAATAGAAGTAAAAATAAAATGAATAAAAATAACAAAATAAGTCATAAGAGTAGAAACAAAACCAAAAAGTATCTTTGCTATACTTTATTACAACAGGAAAAAATCTTAGATTAAGAAATGTATCACATAATAAGGTATTAGCAAGGAGAACAAACAAGTGTGAATGTGCGTGAGTGTGTTTGATGAAGGAATAAAAATAAAAGTGTAATAATGTGAGAGGGTGTGTGTGTGTGTGAACAAGAGAGAGAGAGAGTAGGTGGGTGGTGATGGTGTGTGTGTTTTGATCTGCTACAGAATCATTGCGGCAGAACTGATTCTAATTGCATGAGTCCCTGTGCACAAGGCTGCATTCATTCCAGCTGCAGCAGTTGGGAAATCCCTTACAACTACACAGTAAGAGCCCTGTCTACGCCTTTAATCTTATTCGTTTAAAAAAAGAAAAACCTAAGCAACCTGGCAGATCTAAAGGGCTGAAAGCACTCACAATAAACCACGATACGACAACATTACACACAAATTAAAATCAATACAAGGTAATTAAAACCTGAAATGAAAACATTACAAAGGTGTCGAGATATTAACGTGTGACAGCACCGTAATATCACCGATTATTTTGCCACACTGATAGGGCCGACGTTTATGGAAGGGACTTCTCGACAAAGTGTGAGAGGTTTATTAAATATTGAAGGTGGGGGAGGAAGCCAAGCGCTTGCACCCTGCGATCCCGTCTCATTGAGTACAGCTGAGCCCAACACAAAATCAATAAGCCTTCACCGCAAGCCCTCCCTCCAGGAGCCGTGAAAGAAAGGTCAGACAACAAACTCATTTCCCTGCTAAAAAGGGCTCTGCCTCAATTAGGATTCATATTAAACACTCGTCGTGCAGTCGTGCAAGGACATCTGCGCCTGCTCCAATGGGTCACAATTAAGGAAAAGAAGCTCTAAATGAATTTCACTGCCTTTTTGTTAATGAGCTACAATAATTTTGGAACCATTATACACCTGGTGATGATCGCAAACATGGGGAGTGTTACTCAGAAAAGGCTTGCTGAATGGGAGGTAAAAATAACCTTGGTTGAGGATATCTGAAAATCAGAGATGCTTACTGTATTCATATGAATCTGCATGGATGAATGTCAGAAAAAGCATGATTGGCTGAAATAATCTGCCTGCACCTACCTGATAGGCTGTCGTGGCATCGTGGCCTGTGTAGCTTCCCAAACCAGTGAGCTTTTCCTTCAGCTTATGGTGGGAGCGATAGCGCAAGCAGTACAGAGCCCCTGACATCCCCAGCACCATGACAATAAAAACCATGGAAACCACCACCAGAATCAAAAAGTTGCCTGGCTCCACTTGACTCTGTTTGACCACGGGGATGTGGTTCAGTTTGCCCCTCTGAAATTAGAGCAGAGAAGAGAGAGAAACTCTGATAAACATTGTGAACTGAAAACAAGATAATACAGACACACATTATATATAAAATATACCAAAGCATTAAGAAGAACAACTGTTTTCAACACTGATAATAATAAGAAATGTTTCTAGAGCAGCAAATCAGCATATTAAAATGATTTCTGAAGGATCATGTGACACTGAAGACTTCAGTAATGACAGGAATCACAGGAATATGTTACATTTAAAATAAATTCAAAAATAAAACAGTTAATTGTAAAAATATTTAAATATTTAAAAATGTAAGATATATATAAGACATATAGAGGATGCATTTTAGATATACATATATCACTCAGCTGATCATAGTATAATGTCCACTTGGTGTTTTCATATAATACTTTAAATAAGGTGGCAAGAAGCTTATATATTGCTTATAATTATTACACACTGATGTAGATACACCTCAAGCCGACACTTGGGAAGTGAAGGCCCGCTCCATTCTTGTCTTGGCAGGTTGAAGCATACCACCACAGAGCAATTAGGGTCAGTCCTCACTGTACCAGCTTGCTGCTAATTAGCCACCAAGTCTTGGGTTTGGTCAGGATGGGGGAATTGGCTCAGACCTCCAAGTTAATAAAATGGGAGAGGGGCTAAGCCGAGGGGGAGTACCTAAAAGGTCCGAGCCCCACTAACGTTCCACTGTAGAGGGGGTTGTCAGGCTTGTTAGCCCCTCGGGGGGAGGGCTGACAGCCGGGGCTAAGCTGCTGGGGGATTGGTGGCGTATTGTTTCCAAATGCCTTGTGATGCTGAATAGACTGAGGCCTTTAGAATGGGGTTCAGCATTTTTTTAATCTGCCTCTATTCGCATTCAGTGCTATCATACCAACTGACTGATCACAGAACTATAAGGCATGCGAGATTTTTCTGATCGTTATTTTAGAAACGGTGACAATTTTCTGTTTCCTGAATACTCATAATCTACTTCACATTCTTTATTGCAGTATTATTTTTCTTAAAACATAACATTTAGGACTGCTACACCTTGTATAACAATGCAAATTTGAGAAGCACAAAATATTTAAATCAAGCTTTAATTACATATGCCACTCCATTTAATCACAAGCTGAAATCCCCCATACGCTGGCTACACGTTGCTGAAAATATTAGACCTTAAATGTGAGGTTTAGTAGTTTCTAAGGATTAGTTTCTACTGTGTGAGCTTTTGTTGGTGCAGAAATGATTTGCTTTCCACCCCTCAAACGTTGCATGGAGAGTGTGTAGAGAAGAGGGCGCCTTCAGCTGGAATAGAATCCCCCCTCTCTCCTTCCCTCCATCCCTCTATAGGCTTAGTGCTCTCAATCGAATTACATGAAAAGATCTCTAACATGAAAAGCTGGCTCTGAAAAGAAAATTGTGCTTGGCTAAATAATGTCCGCAATTAATTATAACTAAATAAAATACATGCATTAGGCATTTGAGCAAGGGACTGGAAAATGGATCTAAAAATGAGAGAAGATATAAAAGAAAAATTGAAAAATGTTGTCCTGATATAGTCTATTCCCAAGTTAAACGCATATTACAGTGTATATGAAATTAATGATGACTACGAAAATGAATCCTACAGCACATTTGTATATACATACAAAAATGGTTCTAAATGATTTACACATATTCTTTTGGTGCATTTACAATTGCTATATGTAATTAATAGCAAAAATAAATAAATAATAATAAAAATATGGGGGGAAAAACTCAATGTCGCTGAGGAATTATAAGAAAAATAATAAGAAAAAGAAATAACCAGTCTATGACATGCCTTCTCTTATTATAAGAGGACAGCAAATATGTAGAAATACAATGCAGACTCTACATGGTATGTTGTGTGGAATTACCTATATCTTTACTCTCAAAAAAAACAAAAAGAAATCTTTATTGAAGAAGAAAAAAATCTGCTGATTATTTCAATTGAAATAATGTGTCAAATCCTCTCACTTCCTGCAACACATTTAGTCTTATAGTAGAAAACCCACAAAGACACAGTTTACGTAAAAGCAAAGAAGAAAACTGAAACAAGGGGAAAAAAGAGACAGGAAAAAGGAAAAAAGGGAGGGAGAGACAGAATCCTTTATGCTTTTGTTCTTCTGTAGGGAATAAAATTGGACTTGCAAATTTCTAAATTTACAGAGTCTACTGAAAAAAAAGTTGTTTGAATAAAGCTTTCTCTCCATAAAAAAAAACTAAGGATCTCAGATCCTCATTTGAAGTAGAAATACCAAAAATATATAATCTGTGCATATAAATCTATAAAGTATCTAGAATTCCACATAAATTTGTTTCAGTGAAGAATTTTTTTCTTTATTCAAATATATAATAAAAGGTAAAAATAAAACAAAACTATTTACTTTTTAATTTTTGAATCTAAATAAGAGACGATGATGGGATGATTTTTTTTTTTTTTTTAGAAAAATGGATAATATGATAAACATAAAATATACAAAAAAATGAGAAGCAAGACATAGCAAACAAGAAGAGGAAAAAATATGTTACTGGGTGAATGTGTTCCTGGATTATCCTCAGTTTTCAGCTAATGAATCTCTCGACTGAAACTTTACCAAAAATCCTGATAAATGTACATTTTTATAACGAGTGATTAAATAACAACACCATTTGTAAAACAGTGATTCAGTGTCCATATTAAATAACACTTCAATCCAGGACTACTGTCCAATCCAAGGTAAAACATAAACTTAACACCTAACAAAAAGATCAATGTACGGCCAGACATATATCACCGATAGCAATTAACTTCTTTAAGCAATCTGTATGTATGGACTTTTGATTTTTATAAAGGTTTTTTTACCCTCTCTTTTTTCACTCTAAAAAGGATAGAAGATAATCAAAAAGATAAAAAAAAAAGACAAAAGGGAGATGGATTTGGGATGCTCTGGCTGATTTAAATCATTGAGGGAAGGGTTGGGTGGAGGAGAGACTGTGACGGGTGAAAGGTTGAGACAAGGGCAGCCCATATATCCTTTCACTATTACACACAATAATCACTCTACTTTAAAACCATCCACTCCATCTCAGCTCTATAGATCTTAAAAATATGAGGGAAATAAATAAATAAATACATTGAACTAAAAACCTATAAATAAAAAAAAAACATCATGCACACAATATTGAACAAATGAAAATCAGTCTTACAATCTTTCCAATTTGCACTCCTAGTTCTTTTATTTTTGCACACCACAAAACTACACTAAATTTGTATTAAGTGAGAAAAATATTCTTGTTTTACTATATTATAGAAAGATAGTCTAAATTGCATTCCCATTAATGCAGGCATCCTATTGGATAAATTCAAAGTTACATTGTACATTCGTACATCAGGGTATATATGCAAATACATTCTGACTTTAATTATATCTTATATTTCACTAACTATTTCACTCAAGTTAACTTTTCAATGTAAATTACAGATTAGACATACCCAATGTGTACAAATATTTACATTAAATGTCAAACATTAAAGCTGAATAGGCTATATGGAATAAGCATAGAATGAATCTCTGATCACTGCAGTTTGTTAAGTCCTTGAAGTTTATACAACATTATGGCCCCACAGGACTCATTCCATTCTTTAGCACGTGCGGAACATCTTTTAAAAATTAACATTTTCAGAGATAAAGAAACTATAAATTACCACCAAACAGTGCAAGGAGTTTTTTTTTTCTTTATTTCTCCACCATCAACCTACCTATTCATCTTTCTCATATTATTATTTATATTGGGCTCCAAGTCATTTCCAAATCGCAAAGACCCACTCAGACTGAACACACCGCTTTCAGTGCGATCGATTTCCCTCAAACGAACAGCTAAACACCGATTCCCCCCTCTATAAAGAAACAGAATGATGTTTCTGTTTGTACTCTGTACCATTTGCTCAGTTCTTACTACCACTCTCTATTGACTCACGACCCATATAAATTACATAACGATCTGCAAACCATCTTAGCCATTAAATCGCACACACTACGCACGAGCTTCTCTCTAGCAGAAGCGCTTTAAATGAAAAGCACGATGAAATGTGTCATGCTGGAGCACCGCCATGTAAGTCTTGCAGGACAGTGTCACTCTCATTATTAGTCCAGATGCATCCGGATGCGCAATAAGTTTTAGGTGACGCTTAATGGCGCTTTCAGAGCCTCGTTACATTTATTTACCGACCATTATACATGCGCATCAACAGACAAGTGCAAGTCCAATAGATAGTTACCTAGTTCCATTTTCGGACAGTGCGCGAGGGATGCTTTTCAAGATCCTATTCCGCCTTTCTACATCAGATGTCCGACTGGCGACTGCAGCCTCCTTTCGCAATTCCGCTAGCTAAGAAAAGTTTTTAACCTTCCCGTTCGCGTCCACCTCAACAAAAGACCGTCGTGGTTCGAAGACTTTTTTTTAACAGAAACGGAGAAAAAAAAAGAGTTTGAAAGAAAAAGACTGAGGCAGAGCGGGAGAAAAAAGGCGAGCTAAATCGTCCGCCACATTTCCCAAAGACTTATAAGAAGCTGCAGTGGGTTGTCTGGTCCTTTGAATGATCATGTGCGACTGAAAAGCCAGGTTTTTTTTTTTTCTCGGAGCCCCTCCTTATATTCAGCTAGACTCGAGTCGCTTGTCTGTAGCACATGTCACATCCACTGGTTGCTATAGCGATGCCTCCACATGTTGCCCACAGCGCGCAGGGCGCTAATCAGCGCGCTCGGGGTACAGGGCCAGCTTGAACGGACGGAGAGCTTGTCACTCATTTGTTCAACTATTCGGGATTTCTGTGCCTGCTGAATCGCTCGCGCTTGGATTTTAACCAAGCTTTCTCCCACGTCTTTAACCCGTTACATTGCAATCAGAACTAACTAATGTTGCAACGCCTACTGCCAACTAGTCTGTACGAGCCAGACAGCGAAGGACGCTTCACTCACCACTGCCTATATCGACCCGACGTT